TGAAAGCTACCCAGAATCATTTTCTGTGCCATAAATTCATCTTCGTATTGTACTTGATTGAACTGCAGGTCTGTGATTGCAGCCTTACCATGAGAGGCCCTTAACACAGGGGCTGAGGAGCCCCAGTTGTCAACACACACCTGGTAGCTGGAATTGAATGCTGTTTCCATTTATCCTATTATGTTTAGTTGGATTTGTACCAAATGTCAGAAATTTATTTTTGCTGTTTACTACCCACAGATAATTTTTCCCCTTTGGTATATTGCTAAGGTTTGTAGCCCTCTAACTTCTATAAAACTTTTTAAACCCCAGCTGTCCTGTGATATATTTGCTTGTCAAAACATATCTCTAAATTTTATTGTGTTTTCTTCATTTAAAAAAGATACTTGAATTTTTAATATCTATGCTATTCTCGGTTTAGATTTCAGTTGCCCTTCCAATTCATTGATGGTGGGGTTTTCTTTTTAATTTAAAAAAGATTTTAAGAAATAACTTCACATAACATGTCAATTTGAAGCATAAATTAAATTTGAACATGAACTCAAAATTATTATTGACGAACTGTTGGTAAAACTAAGGAACGATTGGAATCTGTTCTTAAAACGTATCCAAGACAGAAAAATGCTATATTTAATTCAGTTTATACATATTACTTTAGTGAAGTTTAATCTTTTCTCATCTATTTTTAATTACTGAGAGTAATGATTTATATCCTATTTCCAAATTTCTTATTTTTCTGTAGCCAGAGTTGATCCTGAAGGTAAATGTGTACAAACTGTAGCATTTACAAAGCATAAACTGATGGATATGGTTTCCTTTGTTCTTCACGTAATTCAGGCATTTTATCTAATCCATAATCCATACCAGGTAGATATTCACCAAGGATTAGAGATTGTGCAACAGGTTCCCAGAAAACAACCATATCCAAAATATAGAAGCAGATATTCCATGCTAATAAATCCACAATTTCTCCTTTTCATATAGTCCTTTCCCTCCTACAACGTGGTAAACCCCTTGCATATCCAGTAAATCTTAGCATCTTCCATAATGTCATAGTTAAATGTGTTGTTGAACTCCAGGTGACTCTGCATTTTGCTCATTGTAGGAAAGGAAGTCTCTTTGTTGCCTCACTTTTTACTGAAAATCAACAGAAACTTATTGGTTCCCTAAAAGAGATTGTTTCAAAACCATCTGTTGATAAAATACCACTTCCTCAGGTTGCACTGGATTAGACAGAATTCCAAAGCCTGAAAGCTGACACTGATAAGTATAAAAAGGGCATGCAAATTACATCATTCTGTGGCCAGGACCTAAAGAAGAGCAGGAAGCACATCTGCTAAATGAAGTTAAACCAATGAGGTCTTTCCTTTCTGTGTTGCCTTTAAATTTGTCAGAGGCATTTTAATTCAGAATTTAGTTCCTACATAATGCAGACCAGCAATAACCCAGGGAAATAATTACATAAAGATGGGTAGCTTAACAACCTCCCTGTTTCTATGATTACTGCTAGAGGATGTAACCTTCCTTTCCATAGCATTTTTCATAAAATAGTTTTAATTTGGGTGACTGCTGTGTGTGCTCTGGGGCTGTAGCCATGTGTTGGTCATACAGCTATGGACAAAGGTAGTCATGGTCCCTGACCACTTGAGTTTGAGAACTGTGAGTAACTGGGTAAACACATGTGGAAGAATGTTGAATTTTTTAAATTATCAGTTATTAAATGTCTCAATGCAATGAAAAGTCATTAAATCCCTATAAAGGAATCATAGGAAGATGAGTTTAAACAGCTAAACCTCTTTCTAACACACTCTTAAGCATGGCTTGCTCCCTAGATAATTAAGTAAATCCCCTGTATATCATGTCAGTTTCCTCTCCCTGACATCAGGAGAGAGCTCTTGCCAGCCACTTGTTACACATACATTGCCTTGGAAATGTACCTGTGCCTGTCACCATAGCAACACCCTGTGAATGACCTCAGCAGCCACTCAGAATCATTCCTACAAAACAAATTGTGGCTATAATTAACTCTCTGAATTTACTTGGCAATATAAATTTGCTCAGGCCTTGGTGTTTCTTTTTAAAAGGTTAAATGAATGGAATAATCCAATATGAACCCATCCTCCACCAGAGATTTTCATCAGAATGTGAAATACTTCAATAGAAAATGTAATTTAGACTTATTATTCTATTACCTTTTCTCAAAATGTGACAAACATCAACAAATGAGGACACATATGCCAGAATTCCATTTCTGAGGGAACAGAGTGGCTTTTTTCCACTAACCCAAGGTGAAATGCAGAAAGTGCCTTGAGTCCAGGGAAATAGACCAGGTGGGTTTTCAAGCTCTGAAAGCAGAAGCTTTCACTTGGCAGTGAAAAATGCAGCTCTTGGTTGTTTCTTTGTGTTTACCTGCTCACAAATTGTATCTTCTATAGAGTGTAGCTTCTGAGCCATCTGCATCTTCTGTTAGGGGAAAATAGTTTGGTTGGGTAGTTTGTTTTGGCTATTTTGTTTTTCTTTGCCTTGTTTTGGGGTGTGATTGGTTTAATTTGGTGTTGGTTCTAGATTATGTATTTCCACCATCAGAAATGGATATAGTTCTTTTCAGCCCTTTTCTTTTGTAAATCTGGATTAATTTAACTTTTTACCCCAAGTGAAGTCTTTCTCACCACCATCCAACTGAAGCAAATCAAAGATGGATGTTCAGCACAAACTGTCACTTTTACATTAATCAAAAATGTATGGAGCATCTGTAAAGACCACTTCCTTGCCATGAAATATATTGATACCTGTATAGTGAACAGACATAATAGGGCCTGGTAAGCAACAAGTACTCAGTGTAAGGAAGTTGTTATTCTGTACAAACTGTACTGCCATTGGAAGGGAACAAAGGAAAGATGAAGAGGAAAGAGTATTCTTGCAAGGGTGGATGTCTTTAGCTTTACTAATATCTCAGTAACAGAGAGATAGCACTACCAGGTTTTTTTAGTGTAACCTCCAAGCCCTTGCAAATGTTTTTCTATTTGCAGGTGTGTACCTCAACTCCATCTTACCCCCAACTGTGTATTTCAGGGAGCTCAATGCATCTTTCTAATTTAGAGAGAAGTTTCTCTCTAAATCAATGTTCCTGCTATGCAGTATGACAAGGAATTTCCCACTTCATGAACTAGTTCTTTAAATTCTCCTGGGCCAACACACATCCATGCTTTAAAGTGGCAATGAATAATCTTGGTTCATCTTCAGGAAACAGAAAGTCACAGTTTCCCCTTCCCAAAGAATATCACAGCAATTCATACACAAAAATTAATAGTCCCCTCCATTCTGACCTCTTTGTAGGGCATTTAGTGAGTTGAGGTGGGCAGAATAAATTTGAATTAGTGTACATTTAAAGTTCTTTGATTTTTCTGAAGTTAGTTCTTGTACCCAGTAGTTAAAACAATGATGGTCTTGTGGATTTCAAAATGTACATTCCAAGTTTTTCCAATCAAGGGTCTGATAAATCAGAAAATTCCATCTGTATGCAGTAACCAGTTGGTTTTGCATATATAATGTGATGAGCTGTTTTATCTGTAGAATGGGATACTGAGGAAACTAGAACATGGGCTTGTTAACTCCATCAGACAACTCCTAGACCATGCCAAGATATTTCCTAAAATATGTTTGTATTTGTATTCTCCCATCCTCTCTCTTTTTGTCCTTCAGGCAGTTGAATAGTAAAGGTATGAGGCTGGTTCCTATAAGTCAGTATACTGCCAGTTGCCAACTACAGAATTGTCAGTGTATCTGGGATGAGGCCCCCACAATATGAGCTAGTTGCTTGGCAGTAGGAATTTCTAGGCTGATTTTTTTTTTTGTCCTGAAGAATTGATCTACCTACAAAGAGGCAGTGATTTTAATTTCTTTGATAAAGCCAAACTAACCCTACTATTTTATGATTCCCTAAATCTTATAGGCCTAACATAGTATTTCCTTTTATAACTCAGTTTTAAACTTAAGGCTATCATTCATATGCAAACTTCACTAGTAAGAATGGTATTTAATGGTAAAACTAAATCTCAGCATAGGAAATCCATCCATCCATCCATCCATCCATCCATTCATTCCATCCAACCAATCCATCCAGCCAGCCATTCATCTATCTATCAAACATTTGTTAAGGACTGTTTGCTTGGCACTGAGACAGAAATAAAGGTGAATAAGACAGAGCCTTTATCCCAAATAAATCATGTCAACTTTGTATTTATGTTATTGCTGCATCATAGCTGCTGTGTGCACCAAGAATTCCCTGTTGATGTCTAATCTTACCATCTCTTGTTTGTGGTCATAAAGGAGCTGGAGTCTGACTCCTTCCTTCTATTAATGGTTCCACTTTTTCTCTAAACCTTATCACAAGTTAATCACTTTGTATATATACTCTACAGTTGTGTATTTTAAAACCATGTTTGTGCTTCATCCTTTCCAAGGCAGAGAACACTATAGTTGTACTTTGAAACCATAAAGATACTGGTCAGATCAGTCATTTTCACCTGGTTGTCATCAATTCTATCAACTTATGATATTCTCAACATTGCAAATTATGCTGTATACTTTGAGAGAATGAAAGATGAATGGAATAGAAGATTTTGGAAATGACAGAATTATACAGATGGCAAATTGCCCTGGTGGTTGCCAAGGACTAGGGTTGGTGGGGCAATGCGAGGCAGTTTCTTTACAGTGACTGACAGTTCTGTGTCCTAATTGTGGGGGTGTCTACACAGATCTGTACATGTGATAAAAATCTCATAGAATTGTATGCCCCATTTATGTATATGATATGCATACGTGCATGTATACATATGCATATATATGTATAAAGATGCATGCAACAATGGGCAAACTCCAAATAAGGTCTGTAGTTTAGTAAGTAGTTTGTGTGAATGTCAGTTTTCTGGTTTTGAGAATTTTTTATGGTTATGTAAGATGTTTTCATTAGGGGAAGCTGGGTGAAGGATATAGAGGAATTCTCTAATATTTTTGTAACATCTTGTGAGTCTAAAACTATTTCAAAGTGAAAAGTTTTTTAAGGGAATGGAAAAGTATCACATGACCAGACAAATTTAAAGTTAAGGTGCAATGACTTTGAACATTGAGAATATCTGACTTTAGACCTTATTATTTTAGTAAATATTGTAGAAATCTCAGGGTTTCACACTAATCATGAATGACGTGGGCTTTGCACAGAATTGAGGACATGGTATGCTGCTATCTTCCCTTAGGGGAATGAGGAGATTCGTTCCATGAAGAGACTTGGACATTCTGCAAAAATTGGAGGGGGGTGGCAAAAACACCCTGACCGTATGTGCAGCTCTATTATATGTTTATTTATTCAAATTAAATTTGTATAAACAAATCAGAACTATTTGTTTTAAACTCCTGCTTCACCAACCAGACCTGCTACACAAGTAGAGGGGAGAAGAGTAATTTGAATTTATTAACCTTTTTATTCCCAACACTTTACTTTTTGTTTGGATTCTGATTGATAGATGGGTACATTCCTCTGAGCAATGGAAGGTGACTTTATCTTTCATTCCCCAAACTTCTCTGTTACTCTGTTTTTCTTCACTTTTCTATGACTCACTTTTCCCTCCCCTTTCCATGGATTTGGAGTGATGGTGTCACTGACATTCTCATTGTGTCTTCCCTCCAGCTATCTGAATGACTTGGACCGCGTAGCCGACCCTTCCTACCTGCCTACGCAACAGGATGTGCTTAGAGTTCGAGTCCCCACCACAGGGATCATCGAATACCCCTTTGACTTACAAAGTGTCATTTTCAGGTAGTAACTGAGTCCATAACACCTACTTTTTCCCAGCTTTTATGTCTTGAGTACATTTGGTGAACTCTTTAGATAGATCATATGTAGGGTTTAAAACAGTATAGCTTTCTATGAATTATTATCATTAGATACACAACTGAAATAATGTATCTGAAAAAGGAAGCAGGAGAAAGATATACTGGGTTTCTCGTTTCAATTTAAATCACCAAGCAGTTAATTAAATTTTAGGTTGTAGGTGGTTAAAAAAATCAGTTGCTCAAACATTGGTCTTAACTGTATGTTTTTCAAATCATTTTAGCTATGAGGATATTGGGTATATTTTTAGAATTATGTAAGATATGAGTAGTCTTGAGATCCTATCAGTAATAAAAATTATGTTTTCAGAAGCTTTCATGTTGATAGTTCCTCCACTTTCTCTAGTACCAATGGAGAATTTTTAAAGTAGCAATAAAAATATGTGATGTTGGGCTGGCAGTATGGCTCAAGTGGTAGAGCACCTGCCTAACAAGTACAAGGTCCTGAGTTCAAACCCCAGTACCATCAAGAAAAAAAATGGTATTTTATATTCCTAAAATAAGTTGCTTAAAGTTTTTCACACTTCATAGTTTGAAAATGGAATAAGTAACCTAGTCTAAATTTACACAGCAAAATAGAATGAAAATTTATTACCTCCTTTTTTCACTTCTATTCTTTTTAGATAATACTTCAACAGAAATGTTGTTTTTTTAAGATGAAAAAAACAGTCCTGATGAGTTTTCATTTAATCTCTTACTACATAATCTCTGTGCTTTTAGTTAGAATACAAGCCACATGGTGCTTTGAGGAATAAAGCCATGTGATTATGTCTTTGACTTAACTATAGAGTTGAGATCCTCAGGGAAGCTCACTTGCTGATGATGGATGTAGGAGTTACGCAGCTCCTTCCAGGTAGCTCTGCTGTGTGAGAAGTGCTCTCCATCATTTCCCATCAAAACACCGTTTTTTGCGCTGATCACTCTCTGTACCTGTGATCGATTCTGGTTTCCATACACTGTTTCAAAAACATGACCATAAAGAGGCTAACATTTTGGAAATATTTCTGAACCTCAGTTTCTCTCATCTATGAAATGGTTGCATTAGATGAGCCCCAAGGTTCCTTGTAGCACATAGCATTCTGTATTCCTTGCATTTTGAGTTAACAGCATTTAGAAATCTTTTATTTGAGATGCCCAGACTTCCTCCTTTTTGTAACCATACTACAAAATATTTTCAGAAAGCATATAGCACTTCACAGGGGTCTTTACATTCTTAGTACTTTACAATTAGTTAGTTCTGAAACCAGATGGGTAGTCAATTTTATTTTTTCCATATTTTGTCCACCAGCTTTTCGAGGATATTTTTTGCCACTACCATAAACATAATGACTTAGATGTCTAATTTCCTACCACCATCAAAAGCATCTTGTGGGGTCTGGTGTGACAGGATTTCATAGAATGAGAATTTCATGTAAGGAAGTACCATATTATTCACACAATGGCATTAGGGAAGATCCTATATTTTAATATTTCTCAAGACCTGAGAATTCCAGTTTAATATGTCCCAGGATCCATTGTTTTGCCCTCCTCCCCACCTGCCATCTGTCTCTCTCTTTTGTGCCTTTGAAGTCTTTTAGAAGCAGTCACTAGAGGATCCTTGTGTTCTTAAATTGAGGTTTAGTTCTGGGAAGCAGGAAAACACCAGGAGCAACATAATTTCCAACAAATGGTTAAAGAGCCTTGCTCTGAAACTTTTATACCCAAACCTCTCATTCTCTGAGAGTGATATTGTGTACATTTCAGTCAAGACATGGAGAGCCATTGATTCCATGCCAGACACTGCAAGGTGTATTCATATATACATTACCACTTGGTTTTTGATGTCATTCTTCTTATCTGAGCAGTAACTCAGCACATAGTTGATGTGTTAAAAACAAACCCTGGAAATAGAGCAAATGATGGCCTCTGTGTGGCATCTTGTTGTCTTAGACAACACTTAACTTCCAGCAGGTTAGTGAGTCATTTTGTGCCCAAGGCTAATTCTACCATGCCGCCTGACATTGCTGGCCCTGTCTCAAATTATTGCCAATATTGGGAGAAACAAAGGCCCAAAATGCTTACCCTACTGATGGAAAGATAAATAGGATTGGTTTTGCATTTAATCGAAACATCACACCACTCACATTGAAAACTATAACGTTGTATACTTTTACATGTATTGTAGTGTTTCCTCCAAGAAACACATGAGGGTCTTTATTCTGACTTTTTAGGAAAAGAAGCTGAAGTTCTATATTTGTCATTCAGACCTAACACATAAAACTCATTCTGTTTGACTTTTCATCACATCATTAAATGAAACACTATGTTGTTGGGTACAGATAAGAATTTTTTTTTAACATAGTTGTAATTTTCATACACATCTGGTAACTTCCTAGTAACCACAGTAATTTATTATGTAGAATGGCTTGACTTTCTGTTAGGTAACAGAAAATTAGTAGATAGTAAGTATTGTCTTAGAGGGCCATTGTCCTTCAAGATAATATTCTTTCCCAAGTTCATATGTAGTACTGTATTTATATTGCTATTTTTAAGTTTTTCTTTATATGCTATTAATATAAGTATTGTTAACCTTTCAGAATGGTCGATGTAGGGGGCCAAAGGTCAGAGAGAAGAAAGTGGATACACTGCTTTGAAAATGTCACCTCTATCATGTTTCTAGTAGCGCTTAGCGAATATGACCAAGTTCTCGTGGAGTCAGACAATGAGGTAAGTGAGCTTTGGACAGGCGATGGATTACCACTTTACTGTCAGACAGAAATAAATGACAAGGTGATGGGTGTGGGAAATGGAGTAAATTAACATCACTGCTTTCTTAATAGGTGATTTTAGGATTTTTAAAATAATCACAAATGACCCTGTGGAACCACATCTTACACTCAAGCATTCACAGCTTTTCTGTGAGATGTATACCAGTTCTGTGTGCTCAGGTCTAATTAGATCCTGTTTGATACTTTTAACACTACACAGAGGTTCTAAAATGAAAATAACATGGAAATCCCTGATCTAATCATCAGATCATTTTATAGCCTTCTTCCTGCAGGATAGAAACCATGGTGTTGGAGTGAGTCACCCTGTTTTGTTTGTTTTCCTTTTGTTTACATCATTGTTTGTGTGATGGGCAGATCCCAAAGAGTACTCAGAACATCTTTTGACAATGTGAGTAACATTGCAGCTGGGCTTTAAATCAGTTCACCACAGAGCCATGGCTTGGTGACACAGCCTTTCTGCTCTTAAAGAATTCTGCAGGCTGTTATGTAATTTAGTCTTTACTAAGCTGGAAGCAATTAAAAAAGTATTCTTAATATGCCTATCTGAAGAACTGATTCAGTATTGTGATCTCCTCCCTGTTGCAGAGAAGCCTAACAGGTGTAAATACAGATTTTGAGGATGGTAAAGGCATGATGAGGAGTCAGGAGTTGATTGTGAAGAGTAATTAAGGGTGTAGAAAACTGCCTTTGAGCTAGAGTTCAAACTGTATTCTCTGCATGCATGTGCACTTGTGTGGTGTCCATATGTGTAAATGGAAATGCCGTTGATAATCCTGTCATAAGCAGAGGTTACCATCTAATATATCAGTGAGCACTAAATATCATTTCAATAGAATAGAGCATAAAAGAGAAGGAAATAAGAAACCTCCAGCAGCTGATTCACATAAGATCTGGCATATTAAAATATGATTTTAGTGTTGTACATTCTTTACATATATAAGAATTCTTGGATTTTTGGTCTTTTTTAAATGTTTTATTTTTCAACAGGTCTTTTTTCCTTTGTGTTATTGGGATTTGAACTCGGGGCTTCACACTTGCAAAGCAGGTGCTCTACCACTTGAGCCTCACCTTTCATCAGATTTTAATAGCTCTATTACAGATATCTAGTCCCCTCCAGCATTTCTCTTGTGTGTAGGATTGGTAAAGCTTCCATACACCAATATCTCATACAGAACTAAGAATTGATTACCTATTCATACATTTTGGTGTCTTTCCTGGCTTACAATATGTAGGGTTTTGAGTTGACCAAAGAATTGTGGCTTGTTTATCAGACAGTTGTTCCCTGTAGCTGTAAAGCCAAGTGCCTAAAAGCACGCCTAAGACATATGACACTCAGTTTTCAAGACATAAGTTAGACAATTGCCATCAGTTTTAGCCATGATATCTCTTATGTTTCTCTATCTTAATCTGTATCTGTACTAATTTACTGTTCCATAATCCTTGGATGTTGTGTGTTGAATATATTGCATAATTTAGAAACAGGCCTACTGCAAAATTTCTTTTTTTTGAATGTTAGATCAACACAAAATATCTTGATGACTTGCCTACTATGTTCTAGGTACCTAAACAGATTAAATATTCGAGGAAAAAAATTAACTTTGCCCTGAAGACTTTAAAAAGAGCACATGCTTTTTATCAGAATAAGGCATATGGGGGAAAGGAAACTTCTCATCTTTAGTTTGCTACCCAGTAAAATAAAATTTACATGTGTCAACTACGCAGAAGAGTAGGAAGTACTTGTCATTTTATTTTTTATGTTTTCATTGTAGCTAGAGAAATAGAAGTCTTTATCCATGCACATTTTATGTAAGACAAATGCATTATATCTACAGAGAAATCCATGTTGGATTTAATGGTAGTCAGTTTGCCACTTTATTTGTTGACAGTACTGAGGTTTGAACTCAATGCCTCATGCTTGCTAGGCAGGTGCTGTACAACTTGAGTCACACCCTCAGCCCTTTTTGCTTTAGTTACTTTTTAAATAGGGTCTTGCTGTTTTGTCCACGTTGGAAGGCCAATCCTCCTATTTACACCTTCTGCATAGTATGGATGACAGGTGCTGCTCCACCATGCCTAGCTTATTCATGCTGTTTTTGCTCCAACTTTAATCCTCCCAATCTCTACTTCTAGAGTACAGCTGTGAGCCACAACACCTAGTGAATTTACCACGGAAAAACTTAGTAAAATAGAAAAAAAGGAATTTGACTTCTTAGATAATTCATCAACTAAGTGTAGGACATAAATCAGATTCTTCATTTATTTGAAAATAAATGAAGACACTGACATTGTTAGTAAGAGATGAGATTTTGTATATAGAAATATATTTCAAACACAATGACTTGTTTTAATTATCAGATGTCATAATTAAGTTTCCACAACTATTCAATGTGTAGGTACTGTCTAAACATATTGCCCTAGTACTTATGACTCTTAAGGTGATATATTATACCACACTAAAATAGTAAAACTATTTTTATTAGTTCTATATAATCAGTTGTGAATATTTTGAAAGCCTAGGTTGTAAATTCTGTGAGATAAAAGTCATACCCAACATGGTATTCTTTTCTCAGACCTCACAACAAGCCTGATGCTAGTATTGGAGATGATCTGATGCATTAAAAAAAAAATGCCATCCATCATTTACTCCATCCATGTTTTCCAAACCAGCACTGTTGGTAATTAGGAGACACTGTTAAAAAAATGCTTGTTAGTATTGGAATATAGTTACATGATTGTTTTGTTCAGTTGTACCTGTATTTGAAAATGTCATTGCCTCTCCAACTTCTAAACCACTAAAGTAATTCAGAACTATAGAATTCTAATTTCTCAAATTTTCTGGTTTTAGTGAGGCAAAGCTGAAATAAACTCCCAAGACATTTTGTTCTTGGTTTTGAAATCGGATATTCATAACTTTAATCCAAAGCAGACGTGGTGTGCCTCCCTTGGTATATATGTATTTGTGAAAAAAACCTGGGAATGAATTCTGATGGTCTCTTTCTATCCTGGAAACTATGGAAAATGCATTGCAGGCCACAAGCAAAAGCAGCTAAGGAAGTTATTTTAGATTATTCCTTTGGCTTTCAACATTACCACAACTTTATGTATTGATCTCCACAAGTTTGCATAGATCTGCTTTTGTCTGTCCTGATCCTCAGCCTTCCTATTGTTTAGGGAATGAATTTCTCTCTCATTTGTCTCCAAATAAGGAAATTTATTGTCAAGTAGTGCACTGGAGAAACCAAGGTTGTAAAGCTGCATTGGTTTGTATGTCTTTCCTTTTCTCTCTTACTTCCCATGTTTTAGCATACCAGCATGGAGCCAACTATTCCACTGTAATGCTTTGATGGGTCCTATATTTCAGAACCCCTCAAAGCCCAGAGCACACAATATTTCATTTTATCAATGTTTATTCAAACACTTCCTTTTAGTCTTTATTTTTCTGGCTTTCTGTTTCATGAATATTTGAACACTGATACAAAGATGCTCTTCAGACATTGCCTCAGAGACTGTCTTCTAGAGCGCACTCTTTATAGAATCTCAAAGACTGAAACATTTTTCTCCTCCATTTTTTGTTAATGTGAACTTCTTTTTTGTTGTTTATTCATTTATACATAGGTGTTTGGGCCACCTCCCCCATGCCCCCATCCCTTCCCCCCCAACCCCCCTCATTTCCAGGCAGATCCTATTCTGCCGCCTTCTCCAATTTTGTGGAAGAGAAGACAGAGATAATAAGAAAGACATAGTGTTTTTGCTAGCTTGAGATAAAGATAGCTATACAGAGAAATTCCTAGCATTGCTTCCATGAATATGTGTATTACACCCCGAATTGGTACATCTCTACCAGACCTCTTCTAATGTGAGTGTCTTGCTTATTAATCCTATTGAAGTTGTGATGACAAATTATAATTTTATTAAAGTATCAAAATAGTTCCCATCCCCAGACCTTCCTTTGACAAAGATGGATTTCTCAACATTGGTTTTAATTAACATTTATCCTTCAAACCTGGTTCTTAGAGTTGCTAAGTTGATAAAGTTAAAATTGAGAGTAGACGTTTTTAATACTTAGCACTTTATACATCTTCAAAACTTAGCAAAATCATTACTTATGCATTACAAAGACAAGGATTAAGACCTTGGCCAAGACACCCAACCCCCACCTCCACTCACATCCTCTGCTGTTCTAGACAGGCTTTCTTTCACCTCTCTCATGGTGTCTCCTACAAGGTAGTGATGTGTTCTGAAAAAAAGCAACAGTAGTGTCAAAGGGCATGGGCAGCATAGCAGTAGAATGAAACTTACTCCCTTTTAAGAAGAGATTGAAATACCTCCCCTCTCCCCCTAAGTTTACAGACAGTCGTGGACTAGCCAAAAGTCTTTACAACAATTCAGAGCTCCTATATTACTCATTTGATTTTGAACTTTCATAAAACAAACAGTCCAAAACACACATTTCCTTTGGATATTTCAAGTTTTAAAATGAAGCTGTTTTGAAATTGTTCAACTGGAACCAGAATCTGAACATTTTCTTTAAAACTGTGAAGAGCATACTTTGTTCTGCTCTAAAAACTCTGAGTGAGCTTTTGGGAATTTTCTTCAGCTTTAGAGGGGGAAAGTGACCAAAAACTGAAGAGAAAAATTTCTAACTCCAAAAGGAAAAATCTGAAATAAATGTGAGAGTATTTAAACACATGAGCTTAGGTTAAGAGAGCTGGTCTCAGATCACTAATTGGATTGGCTTTAACCCTCTTTTATCTGCTCTTAATCAAATTATGCCTTTAGTGCACTTGGCTCAGATTCATGACCTGATTAACAAGGATATTCCTGAAAGATACTCCACTTTTTTATACTTAACCTCTTTCCCATTTCTTCATCCTTTTGTTCATTTTCATCCACCGGACCCTTTTTTAATACACCTCCTTCCACCCTTTTCATTCCTCT